AAAATCCTGTATATAATTTATCTCTCACAAATGCCTACAATCTAGGTAGTCTTGCGCCCCATTTTTTTTAAAATAATAGAATTACTCAGTAAATGTAGACATACCTTTTCATTTTATGCTCTATAGTAACTAATTTATGCTAAATCTGTTGTACTTAATAGGTATTTGAAAAATAAAATCCCTCCCAATGAGCAGAACAGGTTTCACTTTTTCAATTGCTTCTTCTTTCGGAAGCTTGCTGATTTAGACAAAGATCCATCAGGTGCTTGTGATGGTAAGGCAGCATTTCAACGTGTTCGGAAATGGACAAGGAAAGTGAACCTTTTTGAAAAGGACTACATTTTTGTTCCTATAAACTATAGGTGGGAAACTAACTGAACTTGCTTATTTGTTGGGATTATGCTGTATTCTGATGAAAAATAATTATTGAATCTTGCTACTGGCAGCCTTCACTGGAGTTTGATTGTCATCTGTCATCCTGGTGAAGTGGCATGTTTCCAAGGTCCTTCTCCTTTGAGTTGAATTTCTTATGGTTTATTTGGACATCACCCAATACCCTATTTACTTGGCTCTCTTGCAGATAAAGAAATTAAGGAATCTTCAAAGGTACCTTGCATCTTGCACATGGATTCCTTAAGAGGGAGTCACATGGGTCTCAAAAATGTGTTCCAAAGGTATCTGTCTGTTAGCTCAGATTTTGTATTATAAAAGGTCTTGAAGTCAAAGTGGATAGGATTGGATATGATCTACACAAAATAGATAGAATATAGGGTGCCTTGTGAGTTCAAGGTGTGACTGTTGCTTTTCCTTCCTCTTTTTCTTTCTTTCTTCTTTGTCTTTCTTTTCTTTTCTTTTTTCTTTTCCCCCTTTTTGGGGAAGGGGAAGGGGGGAGGGTGTAGAAGCAAATGCCTTTAAAAAAAAAAATTGTAGCAAACCATTACTTCGGGTATATAAATAAATTCATTTCAAGTTATAATTAAAACAATCATCATGGCTGATTATGAGTGCTTTTCTTTATATCCTATGACAGTTACCTATGTGAAGAATGGAAAGAGAGGCACCGTGATATGGTGGATGATGTTTCTTCAAATTCTTACATTTGCGATTTGTCTCACTAGAGGTACTCTCAGTCTCTCTTGTTTCCCATCTAAATATGTGGAATGTAAATGCAACTTCTAAATTTCTGCTTGTCTCCACATTATATCAGCTTCCTCAGCAGGAAAACTTATACGACTGTGGTCTATTTCTGCTTCATTATGTGGAACGTTTCCTCAATGAAGCTCCCATCAACTTTAACCCTTTTAAGATCACAAAGTTCTCTGACTTGGTGTGTGACTTCTCTTAGCGTGAACACTTATATTTCCTCTACCTTTATACCGCATTTACAACTTTAACTACTCGGTGCTGACGTTTGAATTTTGATAGATATATTGAAAGCTGGCTTATGTTGTATACTGAGTCACAGATAATTTTATTTATTTGTTTTTTGCTTTTTCTGCCCCTGTTGAAGAGCAAGTGTTTCCCTCCGGTAGAGGCTTCTCTGAAACGAGCTCATATTCAGAAGCTAATTTATGATATCTTCCAAGATAATTCTCCTAAAGTCCTCCCAACTGATTGCATTAGCAAAAGTTCTCTCTCAGAGGACAAAATGGAAGCAGGTACTTTTGGTGGGAGTTGTCATCTGACATTATGCGGAGGGAATTCTTTCTTTTCTGCTAAACAGGGGACAAATATTCGGTTCTCTGTAGCTTCCCCTACAAGAGTCGTATCAAGTATTAGAGAGCCAGGAATTTTTTCCATGGACTTGCGAGGAACAGTTGGAGATTCATCTTCTGCAAATTTTCAGCGGGTTATAACTTGTCATCAAAGGGGCTTCATGTCACCCATTGAGGTAATCAATTTTAATTATTTAACTAGTGTTCCAGCCCATGTAATTTATAGTAAATCATATTAAAACATTTTTTTAATGCAAACTATCTATTCATCAGGTGGTTTTTAGATCAAGCATATTTATTGTTCAACGAACAACAACATAAAGGGCGTCCAAGCCAAGGATTTACTTTGTCCATGTTTCATAGCTAGTCCCAATCTTAGATTAAGGTTGTCATTGTGTTAGGTCATCAACACTCGACATAAAATTTTATTGAATCTTTCATGAGAAAGAACAAACAATGCTGGCTGATCCGAATTATTGTCTCTTGCTATTTAGAGGCTTGTTGACTTCAATTACTAAATTGTTACATCTCAATCATTTACTGGTTCAATATATTTTAGGCAGACATGTCAATGGGAGGTAGAATTTAATTGAAGCTAAAAGCTACGTATGCTAGGCGGATGCATAGTTTTTAAGGCTCTTTGACATTGGTGTACCGCATACATTTTGTTTCATAAAGTAGAAAAAGAAAAGTGGAAATTAGCTGCACACAGTATTAATCTCTAATAAGAGAATTTAATTAGTGATGCGTTACTACTTGAACTCGTGCCTTCTACAGAAAAATGTTGATAGGCCGACGTCAGATTCGTTTGTTATTTGTTTTCCTTGAAAGCAGGAAATTGATGAGGATGATGAAGAAACGACGGTATCACCGTTATTGATGGAAGATTCTCAAGTTGCATTATCGGCATCTGACTTCCCGTCCACATCATATTTGAGATCATCAGAAGCATCATTGCAGGGATTCTCCATGAACTTTAAAGACGCCATTGAGGCACATTCACATGCGCCCTGGAATAAATTAGAGACAGAAACTCAAGAAAACTGCCCCCAGGAGAAAACTGAAGGGTCTAACCCTTCAGACAAGAATGACGTGCTTGAGCAATGTTCTTCAGCCTCCAGTGAAGAACTTGCAGACTGTATTGTTCAGGATTCTCAAGAGGCAAATGACATGGAAGATGATGTAGTTGCAAGTGTTAAATCTCCTTCCTCTTTGGAGGTAAATGGTAATCCATGTGAGACCATCAATCTTGAAGATGATGAATCAGTTTGCAAGACACAGCCACCAGCATGTGAGTCTGGTGAACGAGATGCCAAAAGGAGAAGGCTTGTGGAGAGTGAAGGTGAAAAGCCAATCACAAGAAGCCTTTTCAAAGAATCTTGCTTAATGTCATTGTGAATAGTGTTAAAAACAGGCTTTTTTTGTTTACTATGGTGCAAAAGTGTTAATATGTCACAGTAGAAGTACCAGAAAAAAAAAAAAAGGGTAGAAACCCCAATACAGATTGCACAGAGAGATAGGAAGAAGAGGAATGGAGGAGGTTAAAGGGCTTTTTGTCATGTCAAAACTTGTCCATGGTTAGTATATATAACCGTAATAGGCTTCTATTTCTCCTGATACAAAGGCTAGTGATTATAACCAACCATTTTGTTTTCAACTTTATCATTCTCACCAGTAAGATCTAGTCATGCTTATAGTTCTTTTTCCAAATACAAAGGCTATTGGGATTTTTTTTTTATATAAAGTATTCATCAATTATTTAATTTTTTATTTCATTTTCTAATAATATATAAAACGTATAGCGTTAGCATGCAGGTAACACATACATGCTAACACTTTGCATTTTATATTTTAAGATGCTATTGAGTGGTGGCAGCTTTGATAATTTTAAGGTTTTGGGCAATAAAGAGTTTAACAATGAGTATGTATTTTTCCCTTAAAATATTTCACATTCAAACTTCTATGCCTTACAAGTATTATATTGGGGTAGAAGATCACTTATCATTAATAATAAATGCCAAAAACTGTTATGATACATGAAAAATATTAAATTAAACAAAGGTAAAAAATTATATATGAACCTATGATAAATGAGGTCATGGTTTGACTTTCATTAGATATGATGATATAAATTAAATATTTTAGGATTAAAAAGAATTTTTGCTTCCCAACTATTTGCTTTGAAGCATATAGTATTTTAAACTTTTATATAGTGTAATTTCTCTCATTCAATTTTTAGAAATAGTGCATTGGATGTTTTGATATTTAAAAGGTTAATTTTGATAGTTAGTTGATTTTAAACAAATTCTAAAAAATGACTTTAAAAATTATAAAAAATGACTCATAAAATTATGTATAAGTATTCTATAAGAAAATTAATGTCAATTATATCCCTTGAGGCTTTTTAAAATAATTTTTAGGAAAAGGATCAAAGTTAATTTTTTTAAAAGTAGTTAATGCACTATTTTTAAAAGTTGAAAAGAAATTATGCCAAAAGTTTAAAATACCAGACATTCCTAAGTAAATAGTTGAAGGATAAAATGCCCTTTAATCCAATATTTATATTTTAAGATGTCATATATTTTATTTGTGCCATGAATAACGTGAGTTCCACTGGAATGAGGGATTGAAAAAAAAAAACACTAAACACAAACTAAAAAGTTTGAAAAGTTAATTTAAATAAAAACAATACAGTGAAGTGCTTGTCTCTAATTAAATCAAGACATGTGAATCTTATATAAATTATTTATTATATAAAAAGATCTTGTTAATTAATATTATTAATATACTAAAATCACTTATCATAATTTGATTAAATAAAAGTATATTAAGTATATAAGATAAAGTATATAAATTTTATACTAATTTAATTTAGTGTTTGGTTTAATGGAAAGAAGGGAAGAAATAAAAGAAATTTTATTGAGACCTTGTTTGATTAGATGGGAGGGAGAAATTAAATAAAAAAAATAGCCTCCCCTTTCCTTAAAAAATCTTGAACCAAATACTGCTCAAGGGTTTGATTATTCAAATCCTCGACAGTAAAAAATAAATACTCAAAAACTAAATTAATATAAATAAGTAAAATCATTGGAGCAAAATAATGTTTTTTAAATAAAATATTTTTGTAAGTGTTTATTGTTACTTAGGCGTGTCCTGACATGAACCCAACTCATCTAATTTTTGTTTTTTAAAGAAAATATTGTTTGGTGGAAAAGTAACAGAGAAGAGTGGCATTTAATTATTTATTTGACTATTTAAAAAAAAAAAAAAAACAGAGAGTGGAGCCGTAGCAGGATAGGACTCGGGGAAGAGCTTGCTCATACCCACACACTCCCAGGTTTCTCTCTCGCCGGCGAATATCTCAGGTGCGTTTCCGGTCACATTTTCGTCTTCATATCAGGAGCTTCACTATTCGGCGCTTCCTCAGGCGATGTTCATTCCTTCTTTCTTTGTCTCTCCGGTTGTGTTTTTTCCCCCCAATCTTTTGTCTTGCTGGTGTTGTTCATCACATTGTCAGATTCTATTTCTTCTATTTGTTCTTACAGGTTGTGGTTGTTCACAATTATCAAATCACACTTCAGACTCTATTTGCTCTCTGCTGCCTCCAGTCACTTCTCAGGTCCGCTCTCTTTAGAATTTGGCGGACAGTTTGACCTCATATTTTGTTTTCAATTACAAGTTTGATCTTGATCACTAATTGAGCTCTTCTCCTTTTGCCTTACCCATTCCCACGCTCCACTAGCTTGCTTCCACTGTTCATGCTTGCATTTCATTTCCAAGGGACTCGTAGGATTGTTCTCTGGAATCTCTGCATTTGAGTTTGAACTATTAAACATTCGACATTGTTTGTGTTTAGATGCTACTAAATTTCAGCAATCTGATTTCAAATATATTATAATTATCTCAAAGGAAAATTGATTGTAGTCTAAAGTTGGACCAAGATTCTCTGAGGTGAGAATATTACACGACATTGTACTGTCATTTGAGTGGCAATCCACAATTAATTTATTAATTAAAAGTGAATCAAGGGTTTTATCTAAACAAAGAAAGTGATTTTTGGTCCCAGAAGATTGGGGTCATTTTAAATTTTGTCACAAACGTTTTGTTGGAAAGAGTGCTTTACGATGCTAGACTTCCAAGTACATCCTCCTCTTATCACAAGTGTAATTAGTCCAATGTTTTCCGGTTTGAAGTTTAACTCTTGATAAGTTGTTGTCTAATTATCGATGCATCATGTGAATCTCTGTACATAAAACTTGGTGCAGATTACAATCCTGAAAACTGCTACCAATAAATCTATCTCCATTTGCTGCCAATCAAGAATTTCTGAATTTGTAGGACATGGCTTGTCAAGTGAGATGTATGATTCCGCAGCCAGGATTATCAACTTCAGAGAATGAATGCCCTGATAAATCCTGTATAAGTGTTGCAACTTACAGAATCCAAAGCTGGTGCAGTGAGCCAAGCTTTTCTGGACAAGCTCTAAAAGTCGGCACCACATCATTTGTGCATGGCTGGTAAAACTTTAAAGCATGTTTCAAAATATGAGTAGTTCAAACTCTTACAGTTTCTAATTTGTCCAAAGTCATGCTGGTTTTTTGTCCTTTTACTAGTTATCATAATATGATCCTGTGAGAATGTTGTCTAGAAATTCATGTCACAAAAATGGATATTATGCGTTGTTCCCATGACAGTATATTCATTCTTTTTCTTTCATGCTAATGCACTTCCACATTCCTTTCTTCCGTACGTATTGTTTTTTAATGAACCCTAGTGGTTGCCAGAATTAGAGACAGTCAACTCTTGACAAGTCAAATTGGTGGCATGGTTTCTAATTAATGCTGAATTCTTTGTTTGCGTGTTTGTTTCCTATCTTACAACTAGGGGAGCAACCCAGTTGTTTCATGTACTTGCAAAATCATTGATTTTCAATACATTGGTTCAGTTTCCTGGTAAGAAGGTTGGGATGGAAAATAGCCTTTGCCCTGAACACAGGTGGAGTGCCAGGTAATGGCGAACAACAAAGCCTCAATGATGCTAGTTCCGGTTTTGGCAGCACACGATTGGGTAGGATTCTGACAGCAGGTGGCGGACAACTACTAGAAAAACTGAACTCAGCCAGAAAGAATTTCCCTATGAAGATATTCCTGCTTCTTCTAGGTTTCTACACAGCAAATGCACTGGCTACAATCCTTGGGCAGACCGGCGACTGGGATGTTCTGGTTGCCGGTGTTGTGGTGGCTGCAATTGAGGGGATTGGCGTGCTCATGTACAGAAAACCTTCTACCATGAGGACTGGGAGGTTGCAATCTTTTGTGACGATGATGAACTTCTGGAAAGCTGGAGTGTGCTTAGGTCTCTTTGTGGATGCTTTCAAGTTAGGCAGCTAAAGATTCCCAAAGCTTGTCTCTCGCCTTCTAATTTACCGTTGCATCATATAGTAGCCTAATGCAGCATCTTCATTCATGAATCTATGGTAAGCCTCAAGTTTGGCCCCATTTCTCCTCTATTTGCCTAGTTTTATATATGGTGTACATTTATTGTAACATATGAATACAAATTATAAGACGTTTGCTTAATAAATGTGAAGTACATCAAACACGAAGGATGAGTTATTACTTTTTAGTTATTGAAACGCGTGCGCACAACCGAACTTAAGAAAAAGATAGCACTAAAAGAAAATCCATAATTTTATCAACAACTTTATGAAATGAATTAGGCCCTGTAAAATATTGAATACTAAATAAATATCAGTAAGAAAGAAAGAAAAGGGAAAAAAAAAAAAAGCACTTGTGCCAGTTAATTGGAGCTTGTGTTGTGATTTAATTATGACCGTGAACTATGTGGATCTTTTTATAATGTTCAAGGGAATTTACCTTAGGCGTTAAAATTTAATCCCAGTAATGACATGGCTAGCTTATCTTAGATCAATTTGTTTACCACTTTGCAAATCAATAATAGTGTCCGGAATAGAGGCCGGAGAAATTGGGGCTCTAATAAGATTGTAACGAGTGGAAGAAACTAAGCATTGTGAAGCAATCAATTTAATTTCGAACATTTACATTTGTAAAAGTAAAGTTGTATGACATTTGGGGAAAAAAAGAAAATAAATAATAAGCATAAAAATTAGACATAGACTCTACACAAGATCATACTGTCTTCTTTTATCAAATTTTCCATGAACGCAATGGCAAACAGCACAATTTGATGAAAACGTGCTATCTTTTGGCCCATCTTTCAAAGTTGGATTCAATGAGCATGGAGTGATCATCATCTATCTAGACTGTCTAAATTATATTTAGACATTCCAAGTTTATTGTTATATTATGTTTGTAACGTTTTTAATCTAAAATTAAGATGGTTGGAGGTCACTTTTTTAAAAAAAATAAAACAATAAATTTATTAGTTACAAAATTACAAGTTGAAAACTTAAATTTAAACCAGCTAATTTAGAAAGTCAAAATCCCGTCACAATGATCAACATCCAAAACTAGACTCCTCCTCATATGCTGAGACAGCAAACAAAACCATCGTGACTCTCTAGATGAAGATTCTCATCAACAAGGTTTTGAAATTCAAATGTTTTTCCTCTAATAATTATCATTTGTTTATATCATTTTTCTCAGCTTTTAACACTTTTTAGGGGTACTTTGTACAAATTAGAATTCTTTAAGATCATTTGGGCTAGTTTGTAATTTCAAAACTTTTTAGGTAGAAATGAAAATTCTAAAAGCTTAGGGGCAAAACTATAATTTTTAAAAATAATTTCTGAAAAAATAATTTTTTTATCATTTGTTAATTTTTAGTTTTTCATTTATCCCATGAGTTTAATTTGAGTTAATTCAATTTAAATTTTCAGTTATTCACTAAAATATCTTTTAAAATACATATCTTTTATATTTTAATTGTACTTTCCCATGAATTTTGAAAGTGTACTAAGTTTATTTTCTGTAATTAAGAACTTATAGGAAACTTACCACAGCTAATTTCATCTTCTAATCTCCCATTTTATCATTCTAATTAAATTCATTAAATTTTCATAATTCATGCTAAGTTGAATAAATTTATAAGACATATAATTATTTTTTCATAACTTGATATTTAATGGGTTTAATATGTATTTTAAGTCATGGGAAGCTCTTGGATGATAATGATAGCCCGTTGTACAAAATTGAAGCCCTTGGATGAATTAATTTGATGATCAAAAGGTTACAAATGATGAAAGAAATCTCAAAATAAAAAAAAACACGGGGATAATCATGACAATTTTATATTTTAAAATTAATTTTTCTTTTTTTTTTGTTATGCATTTTTTTTTATCATTCCCATCATGTTATTTTTTAATTTCTCCATCTATTTTCAGATTTAGTTTTGCCTTTCATTTTCATTTATTATCATTTAAATAATTCATTTCTAAAATTCAAGGCTATACTTAAAATATCATGTGAAAGGATCTTTAAATGCACACAAGTTTCGCGTCACTTTAAAGCACTTGATGGACATGATTCCTGGGTATTAGATTAATCTTAAGCAACCTCAAACACCCCTAGAACAATCAGTTTTCATGCAGCGACATCGACAGTCCTTGTTCTCGTTTTTCCACTCGTCTTCATCCATTCACTTACTTCATTTCCTCCCAACACCCTCCATGAACCCTAGCCTCCCTTCCATCACTTCTCCACCTTAAATCCCTCCATTTCACAATCCAAAAACACCATTCTCTTCCTCTCATTGACCAAATCAAAGTCCCATAACCAGATTGCTCTTTCTCTTCCATTCATCAAGGGTGTATTCTTCAAATGTTCATCCATAGTGGATTCTATTGTTGGTCAACAAAGAGGAGCTATGGAGGTCTAAATAAGAAGTGGCTAGGCTTGCTTCACCATCTTAGGATGCATAACTGAACCCGCTTTGAGCTCTTGAATTTTGAGACTTTCTCTTATTTTTTATCTTAGTTAATTCCTTAAATTTTGATGAGTATGACATTGTAATGATAATAGTTGTTGGAATTGAATTTTGTGATGCTTGATGAAGTATTGTATAAGGTTGTTTTGTTATTTATTTTCCAATTGAGGTGCTATCATGATGATTTGTGTGCTATCCAAATTTGTTTAATTTTCAATGCCTTATTGCATTGAGTGCTAGTCACCTCTTGTGAGCTTATGAGACATAGTTGTGCATTACGCACACTTGAGCTTACTAATCATTTTTTTAATCAATTTGAAGTCTCATTTAGTTAAGGCAAGGGCTAAAATTGGTAGTTAACAGCATAATTAATTGGTTATTTTTTAACACAATTAGTTCTAAAGATCAATTTGAAGTCCTAGTTAATTTAAAGAACCAAAAAATGCTAATTCCTAGTGGTTACTAGGATGTCTTTAAAATCAATTAGGGGTAGGAGGAAATTAATTAGATAGAGTAAAGATAAGGAAGTCCATCATATTGTATTTTAATCACACATTCCAATCATTTTCAAATCCATCATATTTTCAAAAAATGCCAAAATATTAGTTAGCTTTTAATTCTAGCTTGTCTTAATTCCAATCAACTAATCACTGTTCTTAAATATAAGCAAGGGATATCAACAATGAAAGGCAAAATTAAAAAAATCAAAGAATCAATTAAACCAACTTCAGGCAAAAGTGCCAAAATTTGATGTGCAATAGTCATGCATGCAACTAAAATAAAGTAAGAAACACCCTAATATATATAAGGAGCAACTTGGGTCAAATCTCTTGTGAAGTTGATTAAAAATTAAAATCTTAGTTGATTAAATCTACCCAAAAACAGTGATCAATTGATGGGATTTGTTGATTGGAATTAAAACAAATTAGAATTAAAAGTTAATTAATATATTTGGTATTTTTTGAAAATTGGATAGATTTGAAAATGGTTGGAATATGTGATTAAAATGCAATATGATGACCTTCCTAGGCACATAAACTCCCTCTCTTATCCTTATTCTGTCAAATTAATTTCCTCTTACCTCCATTTGGTTCTAAAGACATCCTAATAATTATTAGGAATTCAGACTCTTAGGTTTTTTTAAATTAACTAAGAGTCTAAATTAATCCTTAGAATTAATTGTGCTTAAAAATGACAAATTAACTATGTTGTTAACTACCAATTCCATCATTTGCCAATGAGACCTCAAATTAATTAAGAAAATGATTAGCTAAACTTAAGTGTGCTTAATGCACAATCATATCTCACAAACTCACAAGAGATATGACTAGCACTCAATGCAACAAGGGATTGAAAATTAAATAAATTTGGACAGCACCCAACGCATCGTGACAGCATCTCAATTGAAAAATAAATAGCATAACAAGCTCATATAATAATTAACCAAATATCAAAGAATTTAATTCCAACACCATTGTTATTACAATTTCATAGTCATCAAAATTCAACGAATTAAACAAGAAGTAAGAAATTGAGCACATAATTTTCAGCTGCTTGATCATTTGTAAGAAATCACGGGAACTCGCTTACTTGAAGTTAATTTTCAAGTGAAGTTACAAAGATGGTGTTCTCTCTCTTTATGTACATCTTCCCAAATAGAAGAGATAAAGTAAAAGGAGATAGTTAACAGAATTAGATGTCCTTTTGTCAAACTAGCCATCATTCAAGAGATCACATCACAGTGTCACAACTATATTCCTCTGTATTAAACGCGTAACATCTACCTATATAATCCCAAGATACATTGAAAATACAGATTCTTGGATGATAAACACTATACAAAACAACTCTCCAAATTGTTGTTATTTTCATGTCAAGCAGGGTATTTACATGAAGTGTTCATAGATTCCACAGAATTGGCTACAGTCAATTGCTCTACTTGTAGAACAAGGTTCAATAGTTACAAAGGATACAAGCGAGTGACAGAGAGAAAGAATGTACAAAACGACATTGTCGTACCATGTTCATAGTAAAAATACAGTGTTCACGCATGCAATATCATAAACTGAATGAGGTTGCTGTTGCTTATTGGAGGTACCTTCACCATGTAGCATGAGACCGTTTTGGCATTTCTTGATTCAAAAGCTTTCATACCCTTTCTGCAAGAAGCAGACGTTCAAGCTCTTCTCTACGCCGTTCCAACTCCTGTTAGGAATCCATAATCAAATTAATAAAGCAGAACCATGTTTGCCAATAAATAAATGAAGCAGAACATGGATTGGAAAAGCACTTTACACCTAGTTTGCTACAGATGAACAAGTTAACCATTGACAGATGCATAGAAATGTCAAAAGTGGATCGTGTAGAAAGTGTATTACCCCGGGATAAGATATGTATTTAAAATATAAAATCATGGATTAATGCAGATAATAATATCTAATTTAAGATAAATTGGTTATTGAATATGAAGATATAAAATAAAATTAATGACATAATCTAGAAAAATAATATTATTATTACTTAGGAAGTAATGATAAATACCAAGAATATGATTTCAAGAAATTAATTTTTCCATTAAGAGGTTTTTAGGTTTTTATTTGATTAGTTATAGGAATATATTAGCATCCACAGATTCAAGCCTCGATTTAAATTTAATTATCTTCATCTTATTTTGGTACGCAATTATTTCTACTATTATGTTCTCTTCTTTTTAGTATTCTTATTTTAGTTAACATGCTTCTATATTATTGGGAAATCATAAATGTCTTGTCTTCTTATAGACTTTAAGTCAATTTCTTCTACTTGTCATAAAATATTATGTAAAATGGGCTCGAACATGAAATGTACACAAGGTGCAGAAACCCTGGAATATGATACATGTGCAGTTCTTAGTGATCAGTTCAATCATACAAGTTTATCAAGACTAGCTCTAAATAAAATTTTCTCAAAACTTTCCCGCAAAAAAGCAGTTTTTCTTAAATGGAGATTAAATCTTTTTAAGCTTTCTAAGAAAGATAACAGAGTCCAAATCCTATCAATCTGTGTCAAACCTCCACTTCTAATGAGAATTTTATGAGAATCCACAAACATAGGCAAAAACTCTTGCCATGGCTACTAATCCAACAGGAACACTGCAAGCCTTCCATATTCAACATGTATTATATTTCTCAGTCCTATTCACACGACTGTTCACAATATTTTAGCGTTTAGGGGAAAAAAAATGTAGAGTTCATTCAATTTGAAATCATGATAAATATGTATTCATCTTCCATTTCCTGGTTTGATAGCAGAAGAAAATTTTAGGACTCTCTAGCCTACAAGGATGACACATTCCTCCTCGTGCATGCAATGTCTATCAAGAGTCAAGACCAACCATATCAATTAACCCTAGATTTCTTATCCTTTCCCCCTTTCAGGCTAAGAAAAAAGAGACATTGCTTCTGAAACTATGCATCAATTCTATGTCACGTACTCATGCTTAAAGTCGCAACCAGTGCTTTATCATGTCATTAGACTAAGAACTAAGAAGTACAAAGAATGACATAGACAACAGAATGCAATTTAAAGGGGGGAAATCATAACATTTTAACATAAAAGCTTACCTCCAGATCCTTAGCTGCTTGCTCTCTTAAGGTCTCCCTCTGTTCCCGAGCACTTTTCATAAAGCTAATACATAGGATTCCCTTGAATTTTTATTATTATAAAGAATGTCAGCTTTGTCTTTGATTCCAAGATTGAGAAGCAGAGATCAACAGTCTAATTGAGGAAGAACATAGAAAAAAGTAAAGAGGGAGAATAATATAACAATAAATAAATTGAAATCTTCACTCAAAATAATAATAATAATAATAATAATAATAATAATAATAAATTGAGACCTGTTTAAAGATGTATCATATATACAATCTGAAATAAATACCAAGTCGATGGGCAATAGATCATGGTATGTAAGTTTAAATACTGCATCATAAACGGAATTTTTAAGTGCCCTCAGACTACTAAGAAAGCATTCACTGCTCAATATCTGCTAAGCCAATTGAAAAAGTAAAACATGAATATGGCTTTTCTAAATAAGTTATAAAAGTAACATCCTTTCAAAGAATTTACTAACAAACAGTTTGGCATACATGTGGACGCAAAGGCAAGAAGACGCTCTAAACAGCATAATTACACTGTCCAATGATCTCACCGAAACAATATAAAGTACACCACAAGCAAGAAGCATATAGCATGCTACGTTCTGAAGAATAGATTCTGTTCGCTCCCCAACAAAATTGGGATAGGCTCTTGTCATTACTGCAACACTGCAGAAAGAAAACCACAATTTAGAAACCAAACAAGAAGATCTGTGCCATGATATACCTAAAAGTAGCTTCTCATTCTATGGTAAGTCAGTTTCTCTCACAACATTTCCCAGCATTCTACATACTAACACCAAATTACAAACTTAATTTAGGTAATAAATACCAGCATTTTCTAGTGGCCACTGCTAAAATATGCCTGTTTTAACTAACCAAACACTTTTCAAGGTCATGGGAATGAAGGGAAAAATTAAAAAAAAGAAAAATCGGGTAAAGATGAGTGAACCAAATATAAGCATCATAATTCTCACTAGACTGAACACGTACAAGATCTGTAGCATACCCCTGCAAGGCCAACACTCCAAAGCCTGTAAAGGATTGAGTAAAATATCTAATTAGACTATGGGAAACACAACATTAACATTAACCGTAGCAAATTGGATGGTGAAGAGAAAATGCCTTGAATGACTTCATGATCAAGCTCCATTCTGTTTCAGCCAGAACTACCAAACAAGATATCAAAACCGCATAGCATCGAAATATGCCATCGAAAATCTATAAATCACTCTCACAAAAACCATTAAAAATTAGTAGAGAGGATGAAAGATGACACCCATCACCACTAAAAAGTGAAAGTTAGAAAAGAGAGATGGTGATGCAAACATACACCAGATATGTGCTTGAAGCTCCTTATAGCAGATAGAACATTGAAGACTATGCAGAGAATGGCAGCCAAACTGGTCAGCAAGCTGAAGCATCTACACGCCACTAAGAACAGGTCCGGTCTCGCTCTAACTCCGCCGTTATTTGAAGAAAGAATAGGCACGCTCTCCCCCACCTCGTTTCTCGACATTTTCTCGAGCTTTCTCCACTTCGAGAAAACGCTTCACCAGGCCAGAAGAAAACCTGCAAAATCGGGAGAAACCCAGAATGCGATACTCACTCTCACATCTCTCTCTCTCTCTCTCTCTCTCTCTCTCTCTCTCATAAGCTTGAGCTCGTTTGAAAGTTTCGAACTTTTTCGTTGTCCTTGATCCTTTGCACCACATTTCCGGTCTTCGATGCTTCTTTACTTGTCAAGGAATGAAAGCACTTTGGAGTTGATTTCTCTATGGTTCGTTTCTGTGTTGCCTCGTGGAAATCGCCTCGCGGGTGAACTACGCTTTAAAAAATTAACCAAAAAAAAAAAAAAAAAGAGGAATGAGGTTCCAACATATTAAATTAATAAGTTTAAAATATCAATCGATATAATTATAAATAAGTATTTAAATATTAAATATAATTTTAAAATTATAATAAAAAATTTTATTTATAATTACTTAAATTAATATTAATAATTTATTTTTCATTAAATTTTATCCGGAAGATCAATGTCTTTTAATCAATTTTTTTGGAATCTAATTGATATTCCCTCTTGAAAATATTTATTAAAAAAAAACAACCACCATGGGAAGGGAAGAATAAGAATAAGAATTAAAAAATATGATAGATATTTTATTTAAGATATTATAAAAAAGAATAATGTGTCAATGTCTATAGCTATGATTCTTTGACAACGATTATCTTTTAATCAGGTTAAAAAAAAATAATCTTCTAAAAATTTATTGCATGTTTAATAGTACATTATAATTACAAAAAAATTATATTATATTATTATGTAAATTAATTCTTCTATTGGTTTAAATTCAATGCTTATTTCAAGAACTATCTGGCGCTTACATCAACTAATAAAGAATTTATGTCTCTTAATTAAAGGTCTTAAATTTGAGCTCTAAATATACAACAAATAATCATAGCTGCCAGCAGGATTGGTAACTGCAAAGAAACCATATTTTAAATGACCTGATATCTAAAATGCATGACAACCCAAATAATTAAATTAGCATGACAGGCATTCAACTCCATATATTTTATACAAGTTTATATCTTTTACAGATCTAATATTAATTAATATGGCTTCAACATTTTTTCTGTGTGGCAAGTATATCTCACCATCTTGCTTTTACACATATTTTACATAAGATATGATAACAATATAATTCAAATACCAAATATACTTCTAAATGATCATTTTTATTACAGCATATATAAACAAAATAAATAAATAGTAACAATTCACTTCAAACTTCATGTATAACACGAACATATAGTCTAATTTTACATACTACAGTGATTATTATATTTATACAAGCTCCTGAAGAATCATCTCCAAATGACCAATACATTTTGGCTCATTATTAAAGCATCATATTCATATCTATGAGATATATAAGGGCAATACAAAGTAGACAAGTTTGTTGAATAGCCTCATGGTTTCACTTCACCAAACAAAACTTGGTTGGCTATCTTGGCTCCTCTCTCTTTTGCCATGTACAAACCTACATGATGCATAAACTCCTGGAAAACAAATCAAATCACATTCATTGTTAGAGTCCTATGTGACTTCTTTTTCCCCTTTAAAGAAATGTTTGCATTGAATAACATGTATGTGCATGTATATATATTTAGGATAGCAAAATTTTTAATATGTTAAGCTTACCTCAACTATCAATTTGATTCCTCAATTTTATTTTATTTTTATCAATTCAGTTCTTTAAGCTGGCCTCAATTATTAATCTAATCCTTGCTATTTGAAGATGAGGTAACACTATTAAAATCAACTGACATGGGTAACAGAATATTGGGTTGACAATTACATAGATTAATGAAAAGAAGTATACTTATTTAGGTGAAAAAACATATTCAACTTTTTTTTAAAAAAAAACTAACAAACAAAAAGTAGCATAAAAGACTATATTGATAAAAATTAAATCAACTTGAAAGCTGAATTGTTCTTATTAAGCCACATATGCGTATCAAGTTTTCAACATACTTGACATATCGAATTATTTTGAGAGCTAATTTGTATTTTAAAACCTAAAAAAAAATAACATGATAACTTAAGAAAATATGAGAAACAAAATTGATAGAAATTAAATTTAGGGACCAAATAGATAATTGAAACAAACTTGAAAATCTAAAGGTTTCATTATCCTGTGGGTGTAATAAGTCTACTAAAGATCATATTATATATAAATTATGAGCAGTGTGCAACTTATTCTGCAGATGGTCCTATACAATGCATGGCCCTACAATCTGGGTACAGATAAAAGATGAGCATACAAAGTAGAAAGATCAAAAACTTTGATTCCTTCAAGTTATATTTTAGCGGACCTGATGGATTTTTTTGTGCCTCCCCAACATTCATATGATATGAGACAGCAAAAACATTTTTCTGTATGTCAAGGTTTGTATGTGGGTGTTGTGCGCACGCGCGCGCTTCATTTACCTGAGGATGAGCTAAAGCTCCTTTCATATTTCTGGCAACATCAAGAGGGAAGTCAAAAGTTGCACACCCATTTGAATACACCACGACCTTTTCCAAAGGATTCAGAAACCCTCTGTTTTTAGCAGACATTGTGGAACTTACAAAGTCCAGAACACATATATCTGTGCACACTCCTACAACCACCAACTTCACACCAGCACAAAATCAGAGGTTTCCGATTGAATCGCCTGAATGTAAAACAACACTTGAGGTTTTATGTTGTTGCAATTTAATATACTTACATTTTTGATGTTGTTGTTCTTAACCCAGTCTGCAAAAACATTAGAGCCATCTTCTTCCATGGAGCCCAAATATCCATCAAAACAGTCTTTACGTCTGATTGTCACGTTTGGTTCGCTCTCTAGCCATCTTAATGCTGCAATTTGAATAGCCAATCTTCAAAAATGGACACTTTCTACAATCTATTCTAGCGATAGGATGAATGAAACCTGAATCAAATATTGACAGGGAAAGAAAGAGAAAAACAAGAAGTCAAGAGATTTACTAAACCTGGAACCAAATTTGATTCATCAGAGCCGATAAGACAGTGAGTAGGGTAAGGATCTTCTGGCTTGTTTGGATGGTGAGAATCCAGAAACGCCATAATTGGGAGTTTCTTCTCACAGAACAATCTGGCCAGACTTGCTGATTCATTGATCATCCCTGAAATCTGCATATTGGGTTCTGCTGGAGCCTACAAATATGGTCCAATCATCATCTTCCAAGCTTAATTTGATCCAACCATGCATACATATAAAGCAGAACTGGTATTTGATGAGTTCAGAGTGGAAAATTAAGGAAGAAGATACCAGATTTCCAGCGCCAACAGTGCAGAAGCCATTGATGATGTCCACAAGAACAAGACCATTCACAGAGTCTTGAGGCAAAACAAAGGCCTCCTGCTCCAGAGGGATCTCATTCTTCAACAGCTCAACTGTCTGTGACACCATCTTTGCTTAATTTCTTCTTCCTTTCCAACTTTATGGTACTCACAGAAGGTTGTTTCTGCGCCCGCGCGCATATATATGTATATAGAGAGAGGGGGGGTCTTATGACAGAATAATATACGGGAGGGTTCTGGCCCTTGATATTTAGCAAGTGACTCTGTTTCAAAAGTCTAGGATTGTGCCTGTGATGGATAAGAACGTGAAGATAAGTTCAAGATTGCCGTCGCATTCACAGCCATCGTAAAAATTTTGGTCTCTAGTTTCCAATTAAGTGTATGATTGTGCTGTGGCAAAGCAGCTGTACTAGTCAAAAGCATCCACCAGTTAGATTTATTTTATGGTTTACTTCACCCTCAATATGCCCCCACAGACTGTTCTTTTTTTCTTTGGAAGAATTTTGGTTAAAATCACGGTAAAAAATTAATTTCAGATGGATCCAAAAAATTCTAAAATTTACTTCAATCTATGGAAGAAAAGTTAAAAAATTTAATGATAAAAAATTAAAATACTTTGAACTTGTTATGCAGAATTACTAATTATTAATTTTTTTTATTACACTTTTTAATTTATCAATATTACTTGTAAATTACATTTTTTTTGCCATATAAGCAGTAGCATTAGTTGTTAAGTTTCTAACTTTACTTTTTTATTTGCTAACATCAGTAGTAAATTACAAAACATATTAAAAATTTAAATTGATGTTAGTAAATTACAAGGCCTGTCACTAATTTATAACTGATATTGATCAATTAATAAAATATAGTTAGTAAGTTAACAACTGATACCATTACTTATGATTGAAAAATTAATGTCAAGTCTTATATAATTATTGATATGCTAACTCATATAATTTGTAACTTATATTCGTAAATTAACAAGTCAAGTAATAAAATTAATAACTAGTGATTCTATATCACAAATGAAGGGTATTTTATCTTTTTACCGTTAAAATTATTTTTACTTTTCTTCCCTTAACTAAATTGAAATTTTAAAAATTTTTTAACCCACCTAAATTAATTCTTATAATGATACTTAACTGAAGTTCTCCTTTTTTCTCTAGTCCTAAAATCATTCATTGTTCTTTTTTAAAAAAAGAAAAGTGTTCAATAATTATATCATGTATTATAATCTTTCAATCACAGTATAAATTATTATTAACTAATTTATGTTTTT